TCTACTAAAAATGTAAAGAAAATTAGCAGGAACCGGGCGTGGTGGCTCACTCCTGTAATCCCAGCACTTCGGGAGGCTGAGGCAGGCAGATCATTTGATGCCAGGAGTTTGAGACCAGCCTGGCCAAAATGGTGAAACCCCGTCTCTACTGAAAATACAAAAATTAGCTGGGCGTGATGGCGGGTGCCTCTAATCTCAGCTACTCGGGAGGCTGAAGCAGAAGAATGGCATGAACCCGGAAGGTGGAGGTTGCAGTGAGCCCAGATTGCGCCACCGCACTCCAGCCTGGGAGACAAGAGTGAGACTCCGCCCCCTAAAAAAAGATTACCTGGGTGTGGTGGCGGGTGCCTGTAATCTCAGCTACTCAGGAGGCTCAAGCAGGAGAATCGCTTGAACCCAGGAGCCGGAGGTTGCAGTGAGCTGAGAACACGCCATTGCACTCCAGCCTGGGCAACAGCAGCTAAACTCAGTCTCAAAACAACAACAACAACAACAACACATTATCAGTAAAGGTAAACCTATAAGGGAAAAATGGACTTGACAATATAAGAATTAAAATTTTGATTAGCTGGGCATGGTGGCGTGTGCCCATAGTCCCAGCTACTCAGGAGACTGAGACAAGGAGGGTTGCTTGAGCCTGGGAGGTCAAGGCTGCTGTGAGCCATAATCATCACTGCACTCCAGCCTGGGCAACAGAGCAAGACCTTGTCTCAAGAAAAAAAATTAAAATTTTGATATGGTAAGAAAATATAAACCATATAAAAGAAATATGTGGAAAATATATACAATGCATAGTATTTGAAAAACTGATATATTATCTTTAAAGATTTTTTTTACAACACTAATTAATACTGCAGTTGTAAAATCAGCAAGGAACATGAACAGCAAAGAAATATATCTTTCTAATAAATGTGAAAAAGTTTCAACTTTACTAAAAATAAAAGTTTCAACTTAAAACAAGTGATATTTTTTCCTAGCACTTAGGAGAAAGTTTTTGTAAAGACTTATGTGGCAAGGATTTGGGAAAATGGACACTCTCCTAACTGCTGATGGATCTCTATATTGGTATGTTTTTCTGGAGGACAATTTGGCTATATTTAAAAAAACTTACATTAAAAAAATCCCATTTTACTTAGCAATATGTTTTTCTGGGAATATACTTAGAGAAATAAATAGGGATGTGATTAATATTTGGCTGTAAGTATGCTCATCTTAGTGTTTTTTAGTAGTAAAAAATTGTAAGCAATCCAAACACCAAAAAATTGCATATTCATTTTAAAAAGAAGCCGGCCACGGTGGCTCATGCCTGTAATCCCAGCACTTTGGGAGGCTGAGGCAGGCAGATCACCTGAGGTCAGGCAGATCACCTGAGGTCAGGAATTCGTGACCAGCCTGGCCAACCTGACGAAACCCGTCTCTACTAAAAATACAAAAATTAGCGGGGCGTCGTGGCAGGTTCCTGTAATCCCAGCTACTCTGGAAGCTGAGGCATGAGAATCACTTGAATCCAGGAGGTAGAGGTTGCAGTGAGCACCTGGGGGATAGAGCGTGACTGTCTCCAAAAAAAAAAAAACATTTTTTTAAAGAAAAAAGATTTCGGTTTCTTCATACAGTGAACACTATTCAGCCATTAAAAATGATTTTGTCAATAAATCTTTAATAACATGGCAATATGTTTTTGAGATAATATTAGGTTTAAAACATAGAAATTAAACTAAACATCAATAAAGTGGTTATTTTTGGTGATGGATTTTTTTCATTAAAAATATTTTCAATAGAAATGTTTTTTGTTATTGTTATTTTTAAAATAAGAGATGGGGTTTCGTCATGTTGCCCAGGCTGGTCTCAAACTCCTGAGCTCAAGCGATCCATCCATCTTGGCCTTCCAAAGTGGGATTATAGGCATGAGCAACCACGCCTGGCCAAGAAATGTATTTTTATAATTAAAAAATAGTTACTGGGAATCACCATAGAATAAATCCATAATGTAATCCCTAGTCATCTCTACTTTCCCATACACAGCATTCCTAACACCGCTTCTCAGAGGGCACCATCCGCTCACATGCCTGTGTACCTTTGCTTACCCCCGGCCACTTAGGTAGTTCCTGCTCATCTTTTATTCAGTTCAAATGATAACATCATGAAGTCCTTCCCAACCACCCTCTTTGCTTATTCCACACAATTATTTTGTGTAATTATGTAGTTACATTGTCTTTTCTGCTAGGCAGTGAACTCCTCTTTTGTTTATTTTATAAGTATTTGTTGAGTGCGTATGTGTCTGGCACCATGTGTATTGTATACTGCAGATCTAACCATGACCCGAGGCAGACAGGTTCCTTCTGCCTTCAAGGAGTTTATAGTAAAGTTGTTCCTTACAGTATAATTTTTTTTTTTTTTTGTTTTTTTTTTTTCTTTGAGACGGGATTTCTCGGCTGTGTCTCCCAGGCTGGAGTGCAGTGGCGCGGATCTCGGCTCCCTGCAAGGCTTCCGCCTCCGGGTTCACGGCCATTTCTCCCGCCCTCCAGCCTCCGGAGTAGCTGTGACTACAGCGCTCCGGCCACCCTCGCCCCGGCTAGTTTTTTCTATTTTTTAGTAGAGTAGACGGGGGTTTCCACCATAGTTAGCCAGGATGATCTCGATCTCCTGACCTCGTGATCCACCGCCTCGTGTCTCCCAAAGTGCTGGGATTTACAGGCCTTGAGCCACCGCGCCCGCCTTTTTTTTTTTTTTTTTTTTTTTTTTTTTTTTTTTTGAGACGGAGTCTCGCCCTGTTGCCCAGGCAGGAGTGCAGTAGTGCCATCTGGGCTCACTGCAAGCTCTGCCTCCTGGGTTCACGCCATTCTCCTGTGTCAGCCTTCCAGTGGCTGGGATTACAGGTGCTCACCACCACGCCCGGCTAATTTTTTGTATTTTTAGTAGAGACGGGGTTTCACCAACAGTATAATATTAAGTATTATGATAGAAGCTCCCAGAATGCTTTGGGAGCTCAGAGAATTGGTAGGTCTACCAGGCTGGTTAAACAGGAAAGGCTTCCTGGAGGGGATAACAGCTGAATACAGTTATATGCCACATAACAACGTTTCAGTGAGTGACATCATATACAACAGTGGTTCCAGAAGATTATAATGGAGCTGAAAAATTCCTATTGCCTAATACTTACTGTGTTATACTTTTTATTGTTATTTTAGAATGTACTCCTACTTAAAAAAAAAAAAAAGTAAACTGTAAAACAGCCTTAGGGAGGTTATTCAGGAGGTACTCCAGAAGAAGCCATTGTTATCAGGAGATGACAGCTCTGTTCCTGTTATTGCCCAGTGGGGCAAGATGTGGAGGTGGAAGACAGTGATACTGATGATTTTTACCCTGTGTAGGACTAGGCTAATGTGTGTCTTTGTTTTTAACAAAAAAGTTTAAAAAGTAAACATTTTAATAGAAAAAAGTTTATAAAATAAGGATATAAAGAAAGAACATAGTTTTGTACAGTTGTACAATGTGTTTGTGTTTAAGCTGTTATTACAAAAGAGTCAAAAGTTTAAAAAATTAAAAATTCGTTAAGTAAAAAAAGTTATAGTAATCTAAGGTTAATTTATTACTGAAGAAAAAGTTTTAAATTAATTTAGTGTAGCCTAAGTGTACAGTGTTTATAATGTCTACAGTAATGGACAGCAATGCCCTAGGCCTTCACACTGACCCACCCAGAGCAACTCCTGCTCCTGCAAGCTCCATTCATGGTAAGTGCCCTATACAGGTGTAACATTTTAAATCTTTTATACAGTACTTTTACTGTATTTTTTTCTATCTTTCAATATACAAATACTTACAATTGTGTTACAGTTGCCTACAGTATTTAGTACGGTAACATGCTGTGCACATTTGTAGCCTATGAGTGATAGGCTACATACCATATATACCATATAACCTCAGTGTGTACCATCTAGGTTTGTGTAAGTTCATTCTATGATGTTCACACAACAACAAAATCACCTAAGGACACATTTCTCAGAATGTATTCCATCATTAAGCGACACATGATGGTATTAAAAAGCAAGCAAGAATTAGCCACATCCAGGGGCAGGAGGAAGGTTGTTTCAGGTAGCAGAAACAACCTGTGTAAACGCCTGGTATTTGAAAACCATGATCAATTTTAGGAAAGTCGTTATGGTATTTGTGGATATTGAGGTTGATTTCTGACAATTATATGTAAATTTATCTTGGAAGAAGCACCAGAATTCATTTCTTCGGTAAGAGATTAGGGTAACAGCATGTATTACAGAAGGCATCCTAATGTTAAACAAAAATTCAAGTGTGAATAGTAGTTTATTTTTTAAGCATTTGTATTAAATATATTCTCACTAAGGATTGAGAAGTTAGTGTAAAATAATAAAAAGTCTGAATTATATAGTATTTTAAGTCTTATTTTGTAATCTTGACTGGTCCTAATAAAATGTTGCTAAAAGATTATGTGGGAAATACCTTTGAGTTAAAAGATTTTTTAAAATGGCAATTTTTACATCAATTTTTGTGTGTAAATGTGTTTTAAATAGAAAAAGATGTTACTTGTAGCAGAGCAAATATTTCTCATGATTTTGATTACGTGTAATGTGTCCCTCTTGGCAATCAAGTCTTCAAAACTTCCTCTATCTCCTATTAAATTCTCTCTCATCATTTTTGTTTCCTATAGAGATTCTGAAGTTCTTTTTTTCCCTTCTGTCACTGTTTTCCAAACACTTACCCCTATTTCCAATTTCAAATAAAAATCAGTAATTTAAAGCAAATGGATCCAATTGCAATGTGACTGTCATTAAATCATAGTATCCTGGCTCTGTGATTATGCAAAGTATACTTTTTATAGTATATCAGAGTCATTGGGTTTATATAGTGAGTGTGTAGTCCTTTTTTTCTTTCTTTCTTGACTAGGTAATATAGTGACTGTTTCTGAAATCAATTTTCCTTTAAAAAGAGACTAAATGAACCAGGGTTTTGTTTTTCTGCTTTTATAGATTTCTTGATAACCGGCTGTTTGCTACCTGCTCTGATGACACTACAATAGCACTATGGGATCTGAGAAAATTGAACACCAAAGTATGCACTTTACATGGTCACACTAGCTGGGTGAAGAACATCGAATATGATACTAATACAAGACTCTTAGTAACATCAGGATTTGATGGAAATGTCATTATTTGGGACACTAACAGGTTTGTGAATAGGAGACCATGTTAGGATTATGAACAAAAACATTTTTTTAAAGATGGTGAACAAATTCAGTGTTCTGTCCTAGCCTCAAGAAAGAAACTGGCTTTAGGAAAAACAACCAAAAAGTGATGATATCGTTAATTGTACTTACTCATATATTGCAACTGAAAATTTTAGGAGAAAATGATACAGGAAGGAGACCAAGTAGTATAGTTAGTGATGAAAACTGTCTTATAAAAAAGAGTTTCCTGAATTTAAGGAAAAATATTTTTGTTATTTCTCCTGCGAAACTAAACTGTTTCTCACTTTTTCTTCCTTCAATTCTACATATATTTATTTTGCAATTTTTGTTCTTTTGTTTTCATGCATTAAAAGAGTAGTTCTCATTTGGAGTGGTACTGATCTCAAAGGGAGTGTTTAGAAATAAAGCGTGGGGCAGTTTTGGTTGTCACTACGGGGAAAGACAGCTATCTACTAGCATTTAGTCAGCAAGGACCAGAGTTTCTAAATATCCTGCAGTACACAGGTCAGTGTGCAGAGTGGACTAGTTGTCCCACCTAAAATGCCAGTTATGCCTCTGTTGTGAAACATTCCAACAAAATGTCTCCGTTTAAAGAAATTGATACTTACAGAGTTGAAGTTTGAAAAATAATTGAAACATGCCTGCTTTGCTAGCTATGGTGAAATGATAATACAGTAAACACACCATGATCATTTCTGTGTGTATTTGTTTTTGTTGTTGTTCTGAGACAGGGTCTTCTCGCATTGTCACCCAGGCTGTAGTGCAGTAGTGCAGTCACAGCTCACTGCAGCCTGGATCTCCTAGGCTTAAGTGATCCTCCTGCCTCAGACTCCTGAGTAGCTTGGACTATAGGCATGTGCCACCATGCCCACCTAATTTTTTAATTTTTGTAGAGACGGGGTCTCCCTATGCTGCCCAGGCTGGTCTTGAACTCCTGGGCTCTAGTGATCCTCCTGCCTCAGCTCCCAAAGTACAAGGATTACAGGCATGAGCCACTGTGTGTGGCCATCATTTTTGGAATATTCTTTTTAGAGGTCATATGTAAAAAGAGAGGGGCTATTCTTAGAGATTTGTAGCTACCCATACTTTTGAGTGGAAGACAAAACTATTGGTTATCTTTAGACAAAGACAAGCATACCTACTAAATGAATTTGTTTACTAAAATTTAGAAATAAAATTTGAATAGAAATATAAATGATAACTTCCAAATTAGTAGAGGGTAAAAAACTAATAAAACATGATGAATCCCATAGAAGCAGAGAAGGGAAGGAAAAAAGAGAATTATTTAAAAGAAAAGATAAGTTAAGAAGCACAAAACTGTCATATACTGCAACTAAAAATGTTGGAGAAAATTATACAGGAAGGAGACCAAGTTGTATAGTTCATGATGAAAACTGGCTTATAAAATAAATTTCCTTAATTTCAGGAAAAATATTTTTTGTTATTTCACAAAGCATAAAACTGGTAGGCAGATAACCTAAGCTTCAATCCAAATATTAATAATTGTGATAAACGTATATGGACTAAACTGTCCAGTTAAAAATGACAGTGTTAGATTAGATTAAAAATAAAACAGAGCTGTATTTTCTTTGTAAGGGACACAGTTAAAACATACAAACCCAGAAAAGTTGAAAGTAAAAGGATGAGAAAAAACAAACAGAATTACACATCAAAGACAAAACAGTTGTAGCTAGATTAATAGCAGACAAAATAAAGTTTAAGGCAAAAAGCATTATTGATAAAAAGGTACTATAACAAAAGATTAATTTCACTAAAATATAAAAGCTTGTAGCACCTAAAAACATAGCATAAAAATATAAAAAGCAAAAGTGGAGAGAATTACAAGAAAGAAGTGAGAAATCTCCATCTCAGTGGAAAATATTAACAGCATTCTCTCATTTACTAATAGATAAGATAGACAAAAATGGGCCAGGTGTGGTGGCTCACGCCTGTAATCCCAGCACTTTGGGAGGCTGAGGTGGGCGGATGACGTGAGGTCAGGAGACCAGCCTGGCCAACATGGTGAAACTCTGTCTCTACTAAGAATACAAAATTTAGGCCAGGTGTGGTGGCTCACACCTGTAATCCCAGCACTTCGGAAGGCCAAGGTGGGTGGATCACCTGAGGTCAGGAGTTCGAGACCAGCCTGGCCAGCATGGCAAAACCCCATCTCTACTAAACATACAAAAAAAGCCAGGCGTGGTGGCTGGCGCCTGTAATCCCAGCTACTTGGGAGGCTGAGGCAGGAGAATCACTTGAACCCAAGAGGTGGAGGTTGCAGTGAGCTGAGATTGCACCACTGTACTCCAGCCTGGGCCACAGAGTGAGACTCCGTCTCAAAACAATAACAACAACAACAACAACAACAACAAAAAATAAAACACAAAAATTAGCAGGGCCTAGTGGCACACGCCTGTAATCCCAGCTACTTGGGAGACTGAGGCAGGAGAATCGCTTGAACCTGGGAGGCAGAGGTTGCAGTGAGGCAGCCTGGGTGACAGAGTGAGATTCTGTCTAAACAACAACAACAACAAACAAAGAAAAATGGATAAGGCTGTGGAAGATTTAAATATTATTAATAAGCTTGATGTATTACACATATTTAGAATTCCGCTCCCAACAACTAGTAAAAATATCCTCTGAAGCACACTTAGAACAGGTACAAAAATTGAGCATGTACTGAACTACAAAGTAGGTTTCAGCTGGTACCAAAGAACTATTATTATACAAACCATTTTCCCTGTTCTTAGTATCATTTAGTTATTAATTAAAAATTCTCATGTTTAGAGACTTATAAACTCGCTTTTAAATAATTTATGAATCAAAGAAGAAGTCATACTGAAGATAGGTTGAAAACTGATGAACTAAGCATCTTCCTCAAAAAACTGGAAAAAAGTAAAAGGATAAATCCAATGAAAGTAGATGTATGGAAATGATAAGTGTAAAAGCACAAAACTGATGATGTTAAAAATGAAAATATAATAGAGGATTTTTTTAAAGCCTGCTCTTTTAAAAAAGCTAATTGAATAGGCAATTCTCTGGCAAGATTCATCAAGAAAAAAAGACAAAAACAACTAATATCAGCAACAAAAAAGGAGACAACAGTATAGAATAAGACGATAGATGAGCTTTATTCCCTATATACTTGAAAACTTTGATGAAATAGGCAGTTTACTAAAAAATACACCTTAGCAAAACTGGCAAAGGAAGAAATAGAAAACCTGAAATACACCTATTACTAGGACTGATATTTAGCCAATATGTACTGGTTCAGCTGAAGCACTGTGAAAAGATTGAACTTCTTCCATACTAATTCGTAAATAGGCAGTGCCCTGAGTTACCCTCTGACACCCTCTGACTACCCAGGCCCCTCTTCTAGAAATACCTCCCTCAAAACCTTCCCATGATTCAGTAGCAAAAGCCCCCGTTACACAATATGGCGATTCCAGGACCCTGTTCCAGCACAGCCATCTGCATCTATTCTGACTGGCAAGTGTTTGTGCAGTGCTTGTTATTTAAATATTCTGAATATCACCTCTGCCACAGCCATTAAAGAAATGGAAAAAATGAATTAAAACCTACCTACAGTACTAATAAAAGAGCAGTTCTGTACATTTTACAGGTGACTTCTACCAAATACTGCAAATAAGAGAACATTCTAATTTTATTAAACTGATCAGATTATTGAAAAAGGGAATTCTTACATCATGTATAAAACTAGTATGACCATGATACTTGAACTTAACAAAGATAATATTTTAAAAAAAGAAAGGCAAATCTGCAATATGAATGTAAATACAAATATTCTAAATGCAAGGAAATTGAACCCTACATTATAGAAAATATCATGACCAAGTTGGGCTTACTCAAGGAATGAAAAGATGGTTTATCAATAGAAACTATATTAATATAATTATCCCCATTAACAGATAAAATGGGTAAATTTGTATGATTGTTTCAAATGAGGAATAAAATTCAACATTCAGTCATAATTAAAAACAAGAGAGGAGACATCATAACCAACCTTGCAAAAATTAAAAGGATTAATAAGGAGTACTATGAGCAACTTTATAGCAACAAATTAGGCAACATAGATGAACAGGTAGACACCTAGGTAGTCACAAATTACTGAAACTGACTTAAGATAAATAGAAAATCTATAGACTTATAGACCTACAGCAAGTAAAGAAATCAAATTGGTAAATTTTTTATATTTTTTTAAGATGGAGTCATTGCAACCTCTGCTTCCCGGCTTCAAGTGATCCTCCTGCCTCAGCCTCCTAAGTAGCTGGGATTACAGGCGTCCGCCACCACCCCGGCTAACTTTTGTATTTTTACAAAAGTTAGAGACAGGGTTTCACCATGTTGGTCAGGCTGGTCTCAAACTCCTGACCTCAGTGATCTGCCCGCCTTGGCCTCCCAAAGTGCTGAGACTGCAGGTGTGAGTCACTGTGACTGGCCTGAATTGGTAATTTAAAAATACTCCCACAGTGAAAAGCCCAGAATCAAATGGCTTCATTGATTAATTCTACCAAATATTTACATAGTAAATAATAACAATCCTTCACAAACTCTTCCAGAATATAGAGGAGACAGGATATTTTCCAACTCATTCTTTGAGTCTAGTATTATCCTGATACTAAAACCAGACAGATACCATACGAATAGAAACTACAGGGCTGGGTGTCGTGGCTTATGCTTGTAATCCCAGAACTTTGGGGAGGCTGAGGCAGGAGAATCCCGTGAACCCAGAAGGTGGAAGTTGCAGTGAGCCAAGATTACACCATTGCACTCCAGCCTGGGGGACAAGAGCGAAACTCCATCTCAAAAAAAAAAAAAAAAAAAAAAAAAACCCCCAAAAATTTTCAAAAAAAAAAAAAAAACTGATGGAAAATCCTCAACAAAATATTAGCAAATCTAACAATATATATAAACATTTTTATGTCATCACCAAGTGGAATTTATCCCAGGAATACAGGG